ATCAACAATTTATGACAGAGATTCTCCTCTATAGGGAAGTACAGGAGCAGAATCTACTTATCACAGAAACAAAACAACTTTGAAGGCAACTTGCTCCACCTGCCCCAGCTCAAGCTCTAGCCTCACCAATGGTCCACTTGGGGGTGAAGCGGAGGCAGTAAATGTCCATGACCTTTGGATTGGCCTCACAGTAGATTCTTGTTTATATGTGAGCACATTTTTGGATGTTAGAACAGAAACCAAACTATTTTAACCTCCATTTATTTTTAACTTGTATATTGTTGTACACGGTATCTGAATGTTTGTTCCCTCCATATTTACCACAAAATCCACCCCTTGTTAAGAAGTCCATGGAGTTTTCACAAATTTAGAGTTGTGCAACCGCAAGTTTAGAACACCTCCACCACCCCTTGTGTCTATCTGTCCCCATTGCTCCACCACCTCCCCGCCCAATCAATCACTCTCTCTCTCAAGAAGTCTGCTTTCTTGAACTCTTCCTATAGATGAAATTATATGATAAAAAGTTTCTGAGTTTGGTGCCCCCTTGGTATGCAACATTTGAGGTCCATCCATATTGCACCTGCTTTGACATCTCCTTTTGATAACTGAGCAGTAAATTACTCTAAGGATAAGGACAGTGTGCTTTCTTTATCTATGGATATCTGGATTGTTTCCCCCTTTTTTGGCTATTATGAATCATGCAGCTTTGGAAAACCACGTAGCTGTCCTTGTGTGGACATATGTTTTCATCTCACTTGGGTACATTTGCTAGATTGCTGAGTCAGATGGTAAATTATCTCTACCTTTCTAAGAAACTGACAAACTTGATTATGGCATTTTACAGTCCCACCAAAGTACAAGGACTCCAGTTTCTCCACATTCTCACCAACACTTGCTATTATCTTTTTCATACAGTTGTCCTTAAGACTTGATTGACAGCCTAACACAGGGCCTACCTTGGAGAGTGTTGCACATGCACATGAGATGAGTGATATGGTGACCTGGCGGGGTGCTCTACAGAGACAACAGTTCTGCCAAACTGGTTGCCAGTGTAGCTATGTCTTCTAGAACATTTTCTTTTGTGTTGCTCTACCAATTATTAAGAGCTTAATATTGAAATCTCTAATAATAAATTATGACTCAATCTTACCAGTTTATGCCTTATGTATACTGGGGTTCTGTTTTGAGTTGTGTGTTTACTGTTTTATTTTGCTGGTGTATTGTTGGAATGCCTCTCTCTGGCTCTAGTAAAGTGTACTTTATTTGAGCTAATATAGTCAATCCAATTTTTATATCTTTTCCCATCCTTTTGTCCACGTAAGGGGTGTCTGTTATATACAATACATAATTAAGCATTGAACAGATCTTGCTTTTTCTACCCCATCTGATAATCTCTGCTTTTTGACTGGGATTTATGTTAAACCATTCACATTAATACAATTATTAATATGATTGGATTTACATTTATCATTTTGTTATATGTTCTCTACACAACTTCCTCTTGCTCCCCCCCCCCCATCCTCACCGACTGCCTTCTTTTGTATTAAATATTTTTTAGAAAACCTCTAAGTTCTCCTGTTTTGTTTTTTGGTAGGACCCTCACTGGTGGCCGGGGATCGAACTGGCGCTGCAGACGCTGCAGGCAGCCTCGCAACCCAGCACTCAACCGCTGCGCCACCAGGGGAGGCCCTCTAAATTCTCCTGTTGATTGGTTGTTGTTTTTTTCCTATAAAGCTAATATTTTAATTGTTGCTCTAGGGGTTACAATCATCACCTTAATTTATCACAGTCTACTTCAGATTAATACTAACTTGATCTAGTATTAATCCAACCCAGTTTCACTTCATTCTTCCTCTTTTTTGCCATCACTGTCACATATATCCTTATCTAGATATGCTACAAACACAACAGATAATGCCATGCCTTTGGTCAATTTCCAGAGATCTGAAACAGCTGTATTTATCAATTCTGCCCCATATTAAGTTACACTTAACACTTTATATAATGTCGTATGTTTTAAGTAAAAAGAAATAAAAGATTCAATGTCTTTTCTATGTAACCCTCATATGTACCATTAACAACACCTTTTATCTCCTCCTTATAGTTACCAGCACATTATTCCCTTTCAGCCAGAAGAACTAGCAGATTTACCAGCAATGGATTCTCTGTCTCTGTATACCTAAAAATGTCTTTTTCTCCATTTCTGAAAGATAGTGTCATTGGACATAGAATTCTAAGTTGTTTTCTTCTTTGAGGACTATTTCTGGTTTCCTGTCTTAAGTAGAAGTGGCATGACAGATCTCCAGCGTTTGGAGATCTTTTCTCTTGCTGCTTTCAAGGTTTTTTTTTTTTTTTTTTTTGACTTTCAACAGTGACCTATCCCAGTACCCATGATGTAATTATGCTTCTTGACAAGGTTTAGTTGGTTTCTTGGATGAGCTTCTCAACATACTTTTGGCCATTATTTCTTTAGGTAGTTCTGCTGTTGTGCCATGCCCACCCTGATTGCAACTGTTAGCTACAGAGTCAACACCCCTCCCTACCTGCCTGTCTCTAACAAGGCCACAAACACCACTACAAACTCAGCAAGTCCTTCTGATCCCAGAGAAGCTGTTGGTCTTGGCAGTCTTGGCAAGTGCCAAGCAGGTTCTCCTCACCAGTGGAGTGATGAGAGGATATGGGAGGAGCTACAGGCCAAATCATTCTCATTGTTTTCACTAAGGCATTAATATTTCACAAATGAGCACGGGGCTACTTTTGCTTCCTGACTGTAGTTACAAGGAGCTATGTGCCATTTGTGGAAATCCATCAGTGGCACACATTGTATACCACATTGGGTGTTCTATACCTCTATTAGAAAAGAGAATGATATCCTCTCAGCACAAGAATTTCAAACAGCATGCTCACGTCACAAGACCCAATGAGCCTAAAACCACAGCACTCCAGCCAGACTCAACTGTAATATAGTAAGTTGTGTTTTCATCTGCTCCGAAGGGAATCCACACTAACCTAGAAGTTCACAAAGTAACCACCATACATGGTAGGGGAGATTCCCCAAGATGTCAAGCCAGGAGCTGTCAATGGCTATTCTACCACAGAAACTGCCAGCCATTCATTCCAGAACAGATTGTAGTTTGAGGATAACTCTGTCCAAACTGCACCTCTCCAATGAGCCAGACAGAAAATTCTATGTAAGAACCCATGGAGACACCAGCTAAACAGACAACATTTAGGGCCTCCCCTGGTGGCGCAGCGGTTGAGCCTCTGCAGCGCCGGTTCGTTACCTGGCCGCTGGCGAGGGTCCCACAAAAAGAAAAACAAACAAACAAACAAAAAAACAGACAACATTTAATTCTGAGTGGAGCTAAAGACCGAAGGTCATCAGTGTTTCCTCCTGTACCAGGACTGACACACATCTGTCACCACCCATTTACAAATGAAGACTGACTAAGCTCAGTCAGGGATGTGCATGACCCCCACTGCCTGCTAGACTCCAAAACTGGCTCTGCTCTCACACCATTTCACACATGCCCTGGGTGCTTGGGTCAATCTCTGTCCCTTGTCTTTATGTGTCACAGGAACATCATGCCCATCAACTTCAAAAAAAGGATATGGCCTCATCTAAGTGACCTTGGGTTGGATGCCAATGGACACAGGCACAAAGTCTAGTGCCTAAAGGGTCCAGAGGCCAAAGGTAGTTCCAGGCTTTGGAAACAGAAAGATGTGGATCTGAGGTATAGCTCTGAGCTCCTTCAACATTTATCTTCTCCCTCACAATTCACTGGCCTGCCCTGCAAGGGAGCATGGTGATTACAGACAAAATGTACCCCAGGAATCCAGGAGAACAAGCAAAGTTGAGCTCCCCAAAGAAGGCTATCTTCTTACTTGAGAGGCTCTGAGGATATGAGTCAAGGGAGGGAAACGTGACTGAACTTTTAATTTTATTTCTGACACTTTAAGGAAGGCTCTGGCTTCAGAGCAGGGACTACAGAAACCAGAGCTAGACAGAAAAGGCCCTTTGTGCTAGCAGGAACGTGAAGCACATCCCCCTGGTAAGATAATTCCCCAATAGCAAGAGGTTAAATTTTCCCACTTATCTTAAGAAGTAAGAGTTTTAAAAGCTGAGAAACACCTGGTCAGATGATCTTTGCAGTTCCTAGGATCCCAATAGTCAAGACTGTACAGAGGCCTCTGTGAATTAGCTAAAACTCACGGGAAGACAGGGAACCCCCAGTGTCCCCAGATCTGCACCTGCTGCATCCCACTCTCACCCCAAAGAGACATGGGGGATCTGCAGGAAAGGGGGAACAGCGAAGGGAGATGAGGGACAAACCAGAGAAACTATGGGCTAGTTAACGCGCCCACATAGGGCACTGGGCTCACAGGACAGCTGAGTGTGGGCATTCTCAAAGAGCAAGGACCTCACCAGAGCTCCAAGAGGGTGCCAGTGACACCCTCTTTAAGGGAGAAAAGATGATTTTGAGATGGATTGTGGAATCTTACCTCTCAAGCTTTTTCCTTAAGAATCTCACAATAACTGAGTATCCAGAAAGTTACTCTTGAAGTAACAACTATCAATGAGAGCCACAGAGCAGTCACAGAAGACCCAAATAGAACACTACTTGTGGTGTGCTGCCTGTGAGGGGCACTGGCACCTGACTCTGCCCCCAATAATGTGACATAGGCAGGTTTAGGACCCCTGGCCTCTGTGCCTCAGACTTAAAAGCAGGGAGGCACAAGCAAACAACCACCTCAAGTTTTCCCACAAACCAAAAGCACCAAGTTGCACAGACAGCAGTTGAGTTTAGTGAAGAGAACAGAATGCTTCTCCCCTGTGATAATCCCCCCTCATTTCGCCCCCGTCACTGATGTCCAGGTATAGGATGGCACAGTTGCTGGGAGGAGGGTAAATGCTATCTCCATGACAACCCACCAAAAGCTGCTTCCTACAGGCCGGGACCAGCCTTTCCCCACTACCCCCCACAATGCCTCACACTCACCTGTGGGAGGTGCGCATGTCCACGGGCCCGTCACTTGTCTGCCCTTCACTTCTACCCGCAGCCACAGACTCTGGCCCCCTTAGCAGTCCTTGGGATGGGCCTGCACCAGGCTCGGGTGTCACTCTTGTGTCTCCATCAGTGTTTAAATCTGAAGTCAACAATCCTCTCTCCATCTTTATTTTCTTGCTCTCCACATCATCCTCTGCTGGATCCCGGTCAAGCACTCGTTTCTGACTTCGTGTCCGGCATGCTTCTTCGGTCATTCTGAACTTGGAGGGAAGAAAACACTACATTTAAATTTGGCAAAGTGAAGTTGCTACCTATTTAGAAACTGCTTTGTGTCAGCGTAAAGTGTTTTCCTTGCCACATGACAATGGCTAAACCAGGTACAATGATATTCCTCTGCCCTGAGGAAGGCTGGGCAGGAAGCAGGGGTGTTTGGGAAGCAAAGATTTGTGCAACCCCAATTCAGGGCCAAGGTCCTGAATGGGAACAATGCAAGGTGGCTGCTTATCAGAAAGAAGGGGAACTCTCTGCACTGCAGACTCCAGAGTAAATAGGGAAACCCCTGCATCTGAACCTGCCGCTATGGGACTCTGAGCACTTGCTAGAGGTGTCTGGAGAGGGGAAGGGGAACCATGCTGGGCAGGAACAGGGTCACAAGCAGCCCAGTCCTGCTCTAACTGTCTCAGACTGACCCTTTTCTCCCGTTCCCTGTAGGGCCTCCTCACTGCCTGCTCACCTCAGGGAGTGAGCAGTGGGGGTCACATTTAACCCTCTGGATGCCAGTGAAGTCAAATGAGTGGGATGAGGCCTGGCCCAGTACTGTGCCCAAGTCCTGTACCTGCAGTACACACATATCTTGATTTAAAAGAAAGAAAGAAGAGGAAAAACAGCTGAGTCAGTTTTTGATGCCATGACATCACTGGGCTCCACATGACCCTTCCCAGGATTCAGTCTGAGAGACAAAGCACTTTCCAGAAAACCAGTCTGAACCGGTTCCAGACAACAAGCTGAAGTGCTGTTAACCCTCACAGAGACAGGAGGGACAGCAGGGATGTCTGTCTGTAGGAGGCGGCTGGCATTCCACGACAGAGTCTGGGACACAGGCCTGCTCTTAAAGGGGCCTCAACGTCACAACAGCAAGACACGGAGACTGTGAGAGGAGGGTCTAAAACATCACTGAGTTCATCAAGGACATAACAGAATTCAGAGGCCAGACTGGGAAAATCCCTGCAAGTGCTACACGTGTCCCTATGCGGGACTTCCACCTATGCAGGTACCTCTAAGTACCTGATTCTTATTTATGTATACTCCAAACTCAAGGTCACCAGCTTCTATCTAGATCCACAAAGAGCATCCAGTGCCTCATTTCCTCACCTGGAGGCCTGTCCTCAATGTAGCCCACCTTCTAGAGGCAGGGAGTACTTGAGGCAGGGTTACCATACATGGGAGGTACTCCGGAGCTCACTCTCTGCAGCCTTCCCAATGGCGATGACTTCACTTGGGTGCAAGAGAGAGGATCACGAGCCCTGGACCCATCCCTGGAAGGAAAATGACAGCTACTCCATGCTCTGGCACCCAGACATTGCTCATACAGGTGGCCCAAAAGGTCACTGAACAAATTGGTCTTCCGAAGTTCCTGTCATACTGAAGTGCCCACCATTATCTCGAAGGGCAAAGCCAGGCTCACCTTCAGTCTCTACCCCTCCTGGCAGATTCCCTCACCCCACCCCCTCCCATCCTCACTCTCACCCACATCTCCCACCCTACACCACCTCCCAAGTGGAGAGTATGTCCTCATTGCCCCTGTCTCTCTTCGCCTTAAGATCTCTGGTTTCTGTCCATTTTCTGACATGACCATACATCCTGGCCAACTCTGTCCAGTCTCCCCATGAGGTTGCAGATAAGACTGCCCCCCCCTTCCTCCCTATCAAAGGGAAGGGTCATCTTTCCTGCCACAGGAAGGAACATCTGAGTGATTCAGTGGCAGACTTAGACTGTAGGTTCATATAAACAAGCCCATGACAGGGAGGAACCTGTCTGGTGGCAAGATGAGGAGAGAATGACCTTAGCAAAGAGGGCCACACTGTAGTCAAAGGGAATCCGTCCCCTAAAGGTGAAGCTCCTGAACTGCTGGTGACCCCAGGGAGGGGTCCCAAGTGGATAGAAGAATGCACTCGAACCCACATTGCTGTACTTCCTCAACCCTACACTCAGGTCCCCATACTTCCCCTCTAATGTCTCTGCTCCAGAGCAAAGCATGGCCCCAGGCTCCATTCCACAAGTTCATCTAAACCCAGGCACCAAAATGTGCATCAAATAAAGGGGACCGAACCGAAATTACAGTGTGCCAGGAACTAGGCCAGCCAGATGACTGTGTGTTTCACTTTTAGTGGCTTGTATAGGATTAGCAGTTATGAGAGGCCAGAGCAGAGCCTCAGCTGTCCACAAGGCAGTCCACTCCAGCCCTGCGAGGGCCCAGGAGACATCTACATGTTCTGTGTGCACAGCGGGAAGCTCATCCTGAAACCCAGACTGGAACTCTGCCAACCCAGCTCAGAACAACTGGCTTCACCCACAGAGGCAGGTCACCCTGGGGGACCTGCCTTACTTCTCCCCCACCATGTGAAGGAAAGCACAACTGAAGGGTAAATAGCATGGGGGCAGGCACTGAGTGCTAAGACTTCTCACTCAGTGAAACCTCCTCTGGCGACTGGCTGCTGGCACCCAGTAGGGCCTGCTAATGGCCAATCCCCTGTCGTGGGGCCTGTGAGCTTAGGAAGGGAGAAGCTGGCAGGAGGAGGGGAAGTATACCCCCAGTATATGGGGCAGAAACCACCACCCTTAAGGCACAAAACCAGGAAACCCAGCCTGGAAGATGGAGTATTACTAGGACTTCTGCAGAAAGTACTGAGGAGGTGCATCAGGAAACTAAAAGCAGGTAAAGAAGCTGAATGACCCCAATGAGCACATTAAGATCCACTTCAAAATTTTTGGCAAGAGGGGGTTGGCACACAAGGGGACTGCAGCCTGACAGCAGTGGCTACACAGCCAGCAGGCCCTCTCACACAGCTGGATATTGTGGTCCCCGCGGCAGTAGCTATTGGGATGGGGGAGGTACATGATTGCCTGCATCACAGGCAATGGGACACCAAGTTCTGGGCAGAATCCTGAAACAAGGACTTGTGTTAGAGGCAAGTTTCAATCACCTCTACTGAAAGCTACTTTACTTTAGTAAAACTATGTTAACCAACTGGTCTGAGAACCTCAGGTAGAAAACTTGTTCTAAAACAACTCCAAAAGAGTAAACCACGCTGTAGCAAGAACCAGAATTTTTAAACAGGCCTCAAAACCAATAAATAGGGAGCTCCTGGCACAAGTCAGGGACACCAGGTCAGTAAACTTCCCGACTTTAGGGGGAAAAAAAAAAAGAGTAGGGGCCTCCCTGGTGGTACAGGGGTTAAAGTCAGCGCTATCTAGTCATCGGCAGCCACTCCCCAGCCAGGAAGATACCCACATGGTGCGGTAGACCTCTCCTGTCATGCCTGCTGCTCCCCTCAGCAGTGTATTCCAGTAGATCCACCTGTTCTGCTCCCAACTCTGTCTCTGATGAATCCTCTCACCCCCATCACACCTCTGGCCTATACCCCAGTTCTTGTATGCATAAATAAAACTTTTTAAAAAAAAAAAAAAAGGAGTAAACAGGTACAAGCCATAGAGCTTAAGCATGAGATATTCACACCTACACTCCTGTACTAGGAAATTATCTATACCACACAATACTGACTGCTAGTAATACTCCTGTTTCATGCTAAGGAAGTGATGTTTAGTGACACACACTTAGAGAAGAGACAAAAGTCATTGTTCTGAAAAGTGGACTTGGGTGCTTTCTTCACTAACAATTCCAAGTCTCCACTACATGCCACAGCTGCTGAGGTTGGGGACTTTGACATGGAGCAGACCCACAGCTAAGGCAGGAGTTAAACGATAGTGTTGCCAGGTGATGCCTGAGGACTGAAGTACAGAACTGGAACACAGTCCTAAAAGAGGCAGGATCTGAGCCCAAACAAGAAAATGAAGCAGGAAGGAAGTAGGAAGAAGGGTACTGAGTGAGTGGGGTGCGGTTGGGGTGGGGGACCTGAGACATTGTTCTAAATGGGATTAGGAATGGGAAGAGACTGGGCATGGGGGGGGGGGGAGCCAGAGGGTTTGGTTTGGTCAAGGGCTTCTACGGCAGCTGGGTGGACAGGGGGCAAAGCAGTGGGAGACTGCTCCAGAAGGAGCTAACACCAAAAGTTTGTGTGTGTGTGTTTGTTTTTATCTAGTGTTGTTTTTTTTTTTCTCCCTTATTGCAATCTAGGGTCAAGGGCAATTGGATGGGGCGGGGGCTATCTAAGGATTCAAAGATTTAGGAGATTAAATACACATATATAGGGCCTCCCCAGGTGGCGCAGCGGGTTGAGTGCAGCGCAGTAAAGCTGTCCACAGCCTCTGCAGCACGGGTTCGATTCCCGGCTAGCCAGGGAGATTCCCACATGGTGAGACAGACCTCTCCTGTCGCGCCTGCTTGCTCCCCTCAACAGTATCTTCAGTCTGTCTGCCTGTTCTGCTCCCTGCTCTCTATCTGGTGAATCCTCTCACCCTCCCATGCCTCTGGCCTGTACCCCAGTTCTTGTATAAAAATAAATAAATCTTTAAAGCAATGTGTGTATATATATATATCTCCCTAGCTCTTCAGGGGTATGCATAGCTTCGTTACCAGGCAACAATTGGTCAGCAGATGCTCTCAAACCCTTTGCGTCCGAGATGTCCAAGTTTTGTCAATGGATCTGTATTTGTAACACCAAAAGTTTTAAGTTGTTTTATTTTTATTTAAAGATTTACTTATTTATCTACAAGAGTTAGGGTACAAGCCAGAGGTGCAGGGGGTGGGAGGACTCACAGAGACAGAGTGGGGAACAGAACAGGCAGATTGACCCAAGTACACTGCTGAGAGGCACAGCAGGTGAGTCAGGAGAGGTCTGCCGCACCATGTGGTTAGCTCCCTCACGAGCCAGGGATCAAACCGGCGCTGATCAAACCTGCGCTGCAGAGGCTGCAGATAACTCCACAGCGCCGTGCTTAACCCCCCTGCGCCACCAGGAGGCCCTTAAGTTGAGTTTTAAACATCAAAACCTCACTGAAGCAAATACAGGGATGCAATTTAACTTGAGAAATAGAAAGATGATCCCAACAGCCAGTCTCTACCACCACTCAGACACAGCAA